GAGCACCAGTCATCTAGCATGCAAAATAGCTAAAAGGTTGAACAAGTACCAGTCATCTAGCATGCAACATAGCTTACAGGTTGAACAAGTGCCAGTCATCTAGCATGCAACATAGCTAACAGGTTGAACAAGCACCAGTCATCTAGCGTGCAACATAACTAACAGATTGAACAAGCACCAGTCGACAAGCATATAACACACCTAACAGGTTGAATAAGCTCGGATTCAGCAGCGCCGGGCAGAAAAAGCGCAGAAACAGGAAGGCAGTGAGTGATACGTAAGTCACATCGTCCTTCATTGGGTCTGGGCAGGCGGTTGAGGACATGACATGGCAGAGGGACGGTGATGGGAAGATGAGACGCGTAGGCATAAACCGAAAGCCTATACAAAGTGGAATAGCACTCAATGGTAGGGTAGATGGATGAAGAAAAGGTAACCGAAGATAACGAGGGTGAGTGACATTCGAAACCTTTCCGACCATTGAGTAGAATTCGTTTGGTTTGAAGACGTTATATAGGGCCGTGAATGATATTAGAAAAGACAATGGGCTGTGAATGCGATCGCACATGTGGGGAGGCCGATCTGTGTGGGCGCATGCAGAGCTAATTAGACGACGCAACAGCTAATGATGCCAACATGTGTAGACATGACACCTCATGGTAACTTTCCAGGGAGCATTCAATCTCTCTGGTGGATTGTGTAAGACTTGCTGATAGTAGTGGATTGTGTAAAACTTACTGATAATAAAACAAGAAATGTGAATTGGCGATGGGGTGCACTGGCCTTGAAAGCACGATCAAGTGTGAGTTGGAAAGTTCTTCACTTGCATCACAGACTACAGTCCGCAAGGAGCATACACGGCGATTAAGAGCGAGGAGTATATTTGGTTAGACATAAACTATATTAACATATGCCAACAAATACCGAACATCCGAAATCGAGTCACACGGCAAACAACTACCACCGCGCATGGCCTAACAGCCCATACCAATGCCCCGTGTTTCGCTTTCAGCCAGGACACTCTCCCTGATCACCTGCATTGTCAATCGTATTTGCGCTGGGATCTAAACGTATCGAAGAACGAAATGAATGGGTCAGTGATTTGGCTGTTATGGCTCGCCTATACATTGAAGTGTGGTAAGGTTGCAACTACACGCACGATGGTGCACCATTGATCTGCAAGTGACAACATGCTGCACTGCAAATGCGCTAACCCTTATCGTACACTGTCATATATTTATCGCATCACATGTACAGTGCATTGCCATTCTGCGCATGGGCATGCACACACCACCGACCTTCCTTTTTGTCGCATATATACGTGCTAGTAGAGCTGTGCAGATCTCTCTGAGTGTGCGGAAGTTCTGATCAACAAGCTGGTTCGTTTCCTCCTCGCTATACTTTTGTTCTGCATTCACACGTGTGGGGTCCATCTCACACCGGTTCGCGTCCGATTTGCACACGTGGTAGATAACGGGACAGAGCACTTGGGCGAGATACTCGTGACCGAATACCTTCATGGAGTAGTCTATACTTTTCGTCGTCTGCAGTGGAAAGCGTCGTTTTATATGCGTTTCAGCACTTGGTAGCGTATGGCGGCCATGCGAATACACCAACGAGCCTAGCAGAGTCTGAGCTTTGCACAGAAACACTGATCACGCTGGCACACCTGAACACCACACTCATTTACGAACGCACATCAGCACCAACATCCATCATGCGAGCTGCACGCAACAGACACGTACCAGACTATTGTGACGGAAGACAATTTTCATGTCGGGTGTATTGGCTATTTCGTCAACAACGAGACCCTTGATTATCCTTTGTGTGTTTTTTTGTTTTATGAAGACGCGCATCAAAGCTTTTGAAAAGGCCTCTCGCTGCTGCGTTACCTTCAGGTTCAAATACCTCAAGACGCAGAAATTATTCTGAGGAAAAATGGGAAAGTAGGTGGAAGCAATATTATAAGAGCTACAGCGATCATACTATATCAAAAGGCTAATTCAATACAATGTTGGTACATTTATTCTTCCAACTTCGTGCATGTATAATCCATAATCCAGGAACTCAAAACCTCGATACATACATATATAGTGAGACGTATGTGCTTAGGCTCATACGTGCGTGCTTGGGTCCACATACTCAAGTTTCAGCAAAATCTGAACAAACATAATAAAGTAGACAATCAATCGATGGAGATATCTATTGCAACTCAAAAGCGTATGGCGTGTATTCGCTGAAACATACTTAACAGATCTACTGGAGAATACTCGTTTAGAAATAAATTAAACAGATCTACCGGAGTAGACTCATTAAAAAATAAAATAAACAGATCTACCGGAGTAGACTCATTAAAAAATAAATGAAACAGATCTGCCGGAGTAGAATCGTTAAAAAATAAATTAAACAGATCTGCCGGAGTAGACTCATTAAAAAATAAATTAAACAAATCTACCGGAGTATACGTTTTAAAAAATAAATTAAACAGATCTACCGGAGTATACTCATTAAAAAATAAATTAAACAGATCTGCCGGAGTAGACTCATTAAAAAATATATTAAACAAATCTACCGGAGTATACTCATAAATTAAACAGATCTACCGGAGTAGACTCATTCAAAAATAAATTAAACAAATCTACCGGAGTATACCCATTAAAAAATATATTAAACAAATCTACCGGGGTATACTCAGGATGGGAAGACAGTGCACTATGGCAGGTACTACGGATGCAGAGCAGCAACACTTACATCCATCACGTTATTATGTAACATTTACAGGACAAGAAGCAGCTTGTAGCTCTAAATAGGATACAAGACAGTTAACTTACCGTACATAGTGCATTATAGAAGGGAACGTAGACGTCTTTGGCATGAATTATCTCTCGTGAGTATTTGTATTTGACCCGGATCTGCAAAATAGATTGTAGCGTAAGAGATAGCATGTAGATACCTGCGGCCAAAGCATTACCCGTGAAATTCAATATAGCAGTAGAAACACAGTGAAATCGGCAGACGCAAACGATATGCATCAAAAACGCTTGACTTGTCTGCGTATAGCAGAGTGTGTGAATTAGCCACCCCGTATGTGTGTCTGGTGCGAATGTTTGACTTGTGTCGTCGATATGTGTGTCTATGTACAATGCACTCCTGTACTCTCATCTAGCTTCTAATATGCCTTGATCTGAACTATCAGACTTAATTGAAGCTAGGTGAGTGCCAATATCGCCTGTGGTGACACACCCGACCAGCCGTTCCGCAGTTGAATGAGATGCGATTGCTGCATTCCTCATGCGCCGCTACACCGCAGCCAGAACATTTGGACATGCGCACAGCCTCTGAAGGATTCGTGAGAAACGAAGAGTACGCAATAATTTGTATCGGTTGTGACTATGTCAGTTGAATGTATGTCTGTGCAGAATGCATGCATGCTTAGGTCCATTGACTGTATATCTGAGCGCGTGTACGCTTGAATTTGGGCAAAAGATGCGCGAAATGAGAAAGTAATGTGAACATGATAGGAGCACATGACCTAACGTTGACATGCCGAATAAACATATGTATATTCTTTCATGCATACAATCGAGATGACTTTAAAAATATATATTCATGTATATATACACGTTATGTCGATGCACGACACCAAAAATAGCAGCGCACTCGTACACAGCTATTTCTTCTAATTTGATGCACGATAAATCTGGCCCCGCCGAAACTCGCCCCAAAAGCTTCAAGATTGCAACAAGGAAAGGTCAAATACATGATGTGCAAAATCAACACGCGTTTGTACGTCTGTCAACATACAAAAGACCACAAAAGATCTTGTAGAGCAAGATACCCTTTTCCAGTACATACGTTTTTGGCATACGCAGCACTTATTGTTTGAAGCTAACGTAGTGTCCGAGAAATCGTGTTTTTGCTGTGAGTAAATGAAAACAAAAAGAAACATACGTCGGGCAATAGTTAATGGGACTGTTATAGACTGTGCGGGAAATGTGCACATACCCAGCAATCTTTCAGTCTCAGTGCACGTGACAAACGTACAAACTGAAAGCCTCTGCATGGCTCGCGCACTTGAGGTACCGGTTCCGTGCAACGGAACAGAATCCTCGTTGACACAAAATATCACGAGTTCGATCAACACTCACGCGGCCCAGCTCCAAACAACATTGATATACACATGGAGACTAAAATTACTAGTAACACCTCCTCCGTCACGCGACCAATGCATAGCCAGATGTCACCAACGGTGAAGATAGGCCCGGCCTAACATGCATAACGTATTGGTTCCTATATGCACACACTCAGCACCCATGCATGTCAATGCACAATAAAAAGGAGCAGCAGAGCCCACACGCAGCAATATATCTTCGAACTAGTTGCACATTACACCCAGATACGTTTGACCGGACACACGTACACCAATGCGAGATCCAAGTTAAATGGCTTTTGTGTGTATATCGTGTGTGGACGCATATAGACAACATGTTTATGTGCGCGATAACATAGTTACAGATGTCAGCGAGCTCGGATTTTCATGTGATTTATGTGCCCTTCTTTGTGATTGTACAGTTGGTTGCGACAATAAATGTGCAATTATGAGTGTTACAATAACTTTATTATTATTATTATATATATACATATATATATATATGTATGTATATAAAATATATGTTCAAGTACGTGTGTTATAACAACTTTATTAATATTATTATTAGTAGTAGTATTAATATTATTAGTGTCATTTTTATTATTATTATTATTATTATTATATATATATATGTGTGTGTGTGTGTGTGTGTGTGTGTGTGTGTGTGTGTGTGTGTATATGTAGTAGTAGTAGTATAGTATATATATATATATATAGTATATGTGTGTAGTGTGTGTGTGTGTAGTGTGTGTGTGTGTGTGTGTGTGTGTGTGTGTGTGTGTGT